TGTCTCCCAAAATGCTAATAAACATGCTTTTAGTCCCGGTGTCCTCATATGAGGACATGTATGAAATCAACATCCTGTTTCGTAACAGAAAGTCATATTTTGATTTGAAACCCCATAACATTTTCCTGAGATGTTGATTTATGACAGACAGTTTAAAAATTAGACAGATTTAAATGATAATTACAAAATATTATCATATTTCCATAAGAGTGTCACTAAATTAATATCAGACATGTTTGAAGACCAAGGAGAGAGAGTGGTCAGGGTGAAACATCCAAACATTTAGTATCTCTGAAAAGCCCTGAATGTGCTCTGTACAGGACATCCAGACTTAAAACTGTGGCATGTATAGTCTCAGAGAAATACACCAAAATATAATGTCCTCATATGAGGTCACAGGGTCTCACAAATGTTTAAATGCAAGCAGGTGACTTGCTCTGCAGTCCTGTGAAGCCCCTCCAGTGGGGTTTAGCAAACACAAACCACATTCTCTCACATAAACAAATGACAAACAGGAACTAGGATACCAGGAATATGAGATTACACCAGAAGCTTGTAAACATTGTCAAGTCCTGCTCCAAGTACCAATTAGCGTGGGACGTACGCCACAAGTTCCAAAAATATTCCTGTTAGTGACACAGCATAGCAGACAGACTAAATGAGCCGTGAGTCATGGACAGTTCGACACAGGACGAAACATCTTGAACATACCATCTGGCACCTGTCAGAGCCTTTCCCAGAAGAGCAAACCTGCAGAAGGGCATGTAGCAGCAGAAAAGAACCCGCTGAGCTCAGGCTTTTCTGCATATTCCCCAATCAGCTCTAAGATCCAATCTTTAAGAGCATCTTTTTTTCAAGAGGTATTACAGTCACATTATTAACAACATTAGCTGCCAAAAAGTGCTTTAATACATGTTTTCAGTGTTTTTGTTCATAGTCTATTCCAAGAGGTTTAAGTCTATAGTCATTTATAAAATGTAAGAAATTTGGTTTGCAAAGAGTTGCCGCCTTTTTATGTATATGGTATTTTCCTAATAAAATAAATAATTGCGTAACATTGTTTTATCATAATCAAAGCAAACCAAACTATATTTTTATATTTGTATTAGTATTTTCTTAATGCTATGGTATTGTTATACAGCATTGTTGCTAGGTTGTCGCTATACAGTTTCTGTGCCGTGGGTGGTTGCTAGGGTGTTGCTATGCAGTTTCTGTGCCGTGGGTGGTTGCAATGCAGTTTCTAAGATGTTGTGGGTATTTGCTAGCATTTTCTTGCAATGTAGTTGCTAGGGTATTGTGGGTGGTTGCTAGGTTGTTTCTACACATTTGCTAGGGTGTTGCTATGCAGTTGCTAATGAGTTGCTATGCAATTTCTAGGCTGAAGTGAGTGATTGCTAGGTTGTTTATACGCAGTTACTGTGGGTGCTTGTTAGGGTGTTGCTTTGCAGTTGCTAGGGTGTTGTGGGTGGTTGCTAGGGTATTGCTATGCAGTTGCTAAGGTGTTGTTATACAGTTTCTAAGATGTTGTGGGTCTTTGCTAGTGCATTGCAATGTAGCTGCTAGGGTGTTGTGGGTGGTTGCTAGAGCATTGCTATACAGTTGCTAATGAGTTGCTATACAATTTCTAGGTTGATGTGAGTGATTTTCTATGCAGTTACTGTTGGTGCTTACTAGGGTGTTGCTTTGCAGTCTCTAGGGTGTTGTAGGTAGTTGCTAGGACATTGCTATGCAGTTGCCAGGGTGTTATGGGTGGTTACTAGGGCATTGCTATGCAATTGTTAATGTGTTGGTGTGCAATTTCTAGGCTGCTGTAGGTGGTTGCTAGGACATTGTTATGCATTTGCAAATATGTTGCTGTGCAGTTGCTATGGTTTTGTGGGTGGTTGACGGCTTTGATATGCAGTTACTAGGGTCAGAAGAGTCCCCTAGTAACTGCATAGTCAGAAGAGTCCAACCTTAAGTCTCTGTGATACTCTGTTTTTTTTATATGATTTACAGTATATGGTGATTTTCTGGTTTTTATATGGTTTATATGTTGATATTCTGGTTTTTATATTGATATTAAGGTTTTCTGGCTGATATGACTAGAGTCACTCCTTCAATGTAAATCTGTGGGATTTTTCACCCAGTTATATATTTTGGTAGACAAAAATCTCCAATTGGTTAAAAGTAACAGCAAGCTCTTAACTAAACTAATCCAGCCATATTACACTTTTATCTGATATCTGAACAATTTCACAAGCCAAAGATAGTTTTGATTTAGTTTTGGTTTTTATCCTTTTAACAAAAATGAAGTATATAATATCTTACCTTTTCTAACGAACCATCGTTTCTATCCAGATCATCCTGGTGGGGGAAAGATGAGTCCCGTATCCAGAGGCGCAGTGACCTCATATACTGGCAGATGAAGTGGGAACACAAAACGCTGAGAGGTGCTTGAGCTCCAAACACACACTCTTTTTCTTTCTTTCTTTCTTTCTTTCTTTCTCTCTTTCTCTCTGTCTGTCTACTCACACATGTCTGTGCCTGACATCAGGAGAAGCAGCAGAAGCAGCCCTCTGTGCTCACACATACACAGCGGCTCTCTCACTGGGACCAGACCATAGGAAAGCAGTTTGGGCAGAGGGAGGTGTTTCCTGTCAGAGGGGAAAATAGAGTCAGGGAGGGGCAAAACGACATGAGACTAGAATTTACACCCTCGGGATGGCAGTGCGATCCAGGCACATTTCACACCCGCTGGTCACCAGATCAGTGTGAACCTCCTCTTCAGGTCCACACATGTATATTTGAGTGTGTTGTGTGGGTGTGTAAACCACAGAAAAACATACACCTCATTTTCTTTAAGCTCAGACAGACTATAGATGCTGTACTAAATTTAGCAGCTTCAATATAGTTTGAATGTATGGTCTAGTATTGTTTATACACTATATAGTGGCCTCAAAAATATTTTTTAATGCCAAGGACACCAAAATATGATGATCCCTTTGCGAAAGACACTCTTTCAAATATCTGAAGGCTGTATAATTCAAGCCCCTTTTATACTGTAAGAAAAATAAAATGAAATTATGAAGATAATTAAAAAAAAAAACACATTGAAGAATCGGTATTTATGTTGTACTAAACTATTTCTCAACAAATATTGTTCCAAATCAGTTTTACAAAAAAATACCATACAAACCCTAGTGAGCAGCTAAAGGCGACAATGGCGAGGAAAAACTAGAAAGATAGACAAAAGCAATATACTGTTCACTTACACTTTTTTTCAAGTTTCACATTTTCTCACACACACACATGTCTGGTTTGCTATCCTTGTGGGGACTCTCCATAGGCATAATGGTTTTTATACTGTACAAACTGTATATTCTATTGCCCTACACCAACCCTACACCTAAACCTACCCCTTACAGGAAACTTTCTGCATTTTTAGATTTTCAAAAAACTTCATTCTGTGTGATTTATTAGCTTTTGTACCCGTGGGGACCACAATTTAGGTGTATTCAGGTTTAAGTCCCCACCAGAATAGAAAAACAGGCACACACACACACATTATTGTTCAAAGTTTAAATAAAATAAATTACACGAATATTTTTATTTAACACATGGATACATTACAGTGATCAATTGATCAAGTAAATACATATCATTCTATTTCAAATAAATGCTGTTCTTTTGAACTTTCTATTCATCAAAGAGTAGAAAGTTCAAATGAAAAAGAAAGAGACTGAGAAAGTTTCTGAGAACTTTCTCAGTCTCAGTTTTCAACCTTGAAATACAAGGAAATTAAAAAACGGACTAGAAAAAGTCCTAAAACTGGTTACAAATATGTTTCAATAGAAAACAATTAGTTTAAATTGCAATAATGTTTCACAATAGTACTGTTTTTAGTGTATTTTTAATGCATGTGTAATTTTGAATTTTCTTCTCATTTTTCCCAAAATTAAGAATCTACAGTATATTGTGCCACTTTGCATTTCTGAGAACATTAAAATCTCTAAAACACCAGTTGATTAAAAGATGTTTTTGCACGATCAAGCCCTGCTCACTTTTTCTTCAGAAAATAGTCTTAACAGTATTAATATTTATAAAGGGAGCCAAAATAAATGCCCTATACAGCATGCAGAGCTCAAAAGTAAGAAGTAGCCAATGTAAAACTCAACCCAGCCTCTTTCAGTTTCTGTTGGTCTTCACTTTCAACATCCAAACACTCCCCTAAATTATGTCTCTTTCAACGTGTGCAGGCTTGAATAAGGCCGATCGCCCACCCCCTGGGATGGGCCACGTCGAGCATGCCAGAAAGCTCTCTTGTCTGTTTGTGGGGTGGAACAGGAAATGTCTGCAGTGGTCACAGCGCCTGCTGCTTCGGGCTACAGCTGGATTAAAAGAGCTCTTTGTGTTCCCGTCTGACGAGGGTTCAACACCTGAAGCGACTCTTAACTGTATGGGGTTCCAAGCCTAGCAACAGCCAGTGAAAACCTTCTATCTTTAATGGTACAGTGAACCATGCTCTTCAGAGAAGTTGAGTCTGACAGAAATAAAAGGACATAATGTGGGCAACATACTCACTTGAGCAGGTGCATGCTGGGAAAATTTGGGATGTAGTAATGAAAGCTAAATGCAAGTTGAGTTGAATCGCCCAGTGAGATTGAACGCCTTGAACGCTGAGATGATCATGCACCAAATTTCCCAGCATGCACCAGCATTCAAACCCTTAAAAATGATTTTTTCAATAATTGGGATTCAAGTTTCTTCATAAGCAGCACGTGTAATTTTCATGTTGTGCTATGTTTTTTTTTTTTTTTACCAGAATATTCCTGTCTGGACAGGAATGAGGTTTGAGTCATTGCAAAGTTGATAATTATGTGGTCACTGAAAATCCTGCGACCTCATATGCAATGCCAAAACATATGTAGCATTCTGGAAGCAAAATAATATTGTTCCAAAATAAGATGTAAAGTCTCTTGCCACATTGGCCACAAACTGAGACGAAAATAAAAGAATGAAATAATTTAGGAAACAAAAGCATTTGAATTCCTTCTGTTTGTTAGTCTAATCTGAAGGCTCGGGTTAAAGGAATGGTTCCCAATACATTTTAAAAGTAAAACGGTGCCATTATTAAGGCATTTTTAACTTCAAACCGCTGCATCTGGCTAAAAAAAACAAGTTCTATTGCTTTCACCAGTGAAAAGGTATTCTTATCTGAATAAAGGGAGAAGATCAAGCACCGTTTACAACCGCAAAACTGTTCTAAACAAATATGTTGGTGGATTTTGATGTGAGAAGACAACAGGGGATGGACTTATTTTACGTCATGGATTATGGACTCGTATTTAACTGGAGACAATGATTTAAAGTTAACATTTTAATGATGGATTTTTCTCTTACAGACATGCAGCTTTTTGTTTTACAAGACATTAAGTGATGGACTGGAGTGGTGTGGATTACTTCTGGATTATTACGATGTTTTTATCAGCTGTTTGGACTCTCATTCTGACGGCACCCATTCACTGCAGAGGATCCACTGGTGAGCAAGTGATGTGAAGCTAAATTTCTCCAAATCTGTTTCGATATAGAGACAAACTCACCCTTGGATGGCCTGAGTAAATTTTCAGCACATTTTCATTTTTTGGTGAACTAGTACAAAATTAGAACTAATTTGTCAGCTCATTATACTGTATGATATGTAGAATTCACTATGTATGTACTTGTATATCTTTATCCCCAACAGCTTACCATGTTAGAAGATTCCTGTCCAATCCAATCTGGGACTGTTCTGTTAATTATTTATATGATCATGTGAAATGATCACCAAACATGGGGCCCGTTTCAATAAGAAGGTTCAACCAACTCTGAGTTTAACATTGAACTCTGAGTTGACTTACCCTGAGATGGGAAACTCAGAGTTTTCGGTTTCAGAACGGCTGAACTGAGTTAGTTCAATCCACTCTGAGTAGGTTGACTCTGAGTTTAGCGCGTGCACCAAGACTATGAGAAGTCATGATCAATGGAGCTCCGAAATTTTGATTCACCATGGCAACAGCTCCCGCCAAAAAGACGTCCGCATACTTCTGACTTGGGTAGACTGAGTACAGTTGAGACACTTTCTGCTTTTTTCATCACTACACAAAAACTATAGATGCTGAAATGAAGTGATTTTTCACATGATATTTATTTTGCTTATGTACTGAAATATCATAAATTGATAGTTGCCATAAGTAGTTTATATTTTCCACAATTAGCTCATAAATATAAGGTGCATTTTTGTCTCAACTGTACCCATATGGTGTACAGTTGAAACAGTACCATGGTCACCACGAGACACCCATTCACCCAAATGTAATAAATTACAAAATTACAGTTGTGCATTTAAAAAAAAAATCTGATTTATTTGCTTTATTTAATTCAGATTCAGTTAAACAAATAGGAACACATATTTAACACTAGAAAAGATATGGCAAACAGTATAAATGTAAAAATAACAATATACATACACGTATATTCTATAACCCTACCCCTAAATCTACCCATTACTCGAAACTTTCTGCATTTTTTAATCATTCTGTATGAATTATAAGCTTGTATCCTCATGGGGACCTAAAAAATGTTCCCATAAGGTTAGAATTTACTGGTTTTACTATACTTGTGGGGACATTTGGTCCCCATAACGTAGGTAATACCAGTACACAAAGACACACAGCCTCTGAATATGCATTTTATTTTCTATGATTGAACTGTTACTGTATACATAGCGACCTATAAAAGGTGTATCAACTGTACCCACTTTACCACCTTGTATTTTTCTTAAAATGCTATGTAATCCTTTTAACATTCATGTTAGAAAACATGTCCATTAATAATAGACAGTTAAAATATCACAAATATCATTTTTTAACAGTAAAAATCATTGCTTCACATGCTGTTTAGTTGTATCATGGCAAAAAAATAACGTGGCAGCAGCTAAAAAAATTAAGTATAAAAACACAATTCAATCAAGGTAAAGCTTTAAGCATAAAAGGTTCATGGGTGTAGGCTACATGACTTTAAAAACATTTGACATTAAATATCATTCAGTGTGTATTTCAATGCGCAGCAGCTTTTTCCACATAGTCTAACACTCTTTTCACATAGGCTAATTAAATATTCTCTAATCCAACCTGTTACATTTCTTAATTAGAGTAATAAAATGAACTACTGTAGCCTACTCGGTCGACAGCAAGAAGGCAGAGGCTCGCAAAAAGGGGGGAGAACCTGCACCAGCACCACTGACAGATGAAGTTGAAATTTTAAAATCCAAAAGGAAAAAAAACTGTTGCTTTTGTATTTGTAGGAAATAAAGATGACCAAATAAATTGTGAATAATTTGTTTATTTAACAGCTGTGGTGGTGGTTACGGCATATATCTCGTACTACCCTTTCATTATCATGGCAAAAAAAAAAAAACTCCCTATGAATTTATGCAGCCTCCTCTTCTACAGGATACTGTATAAAAGGAGATGCCATTTTTGTCACTTTGACCGTGTCTACATTATGAACATATGCGCAATGAATAAATGTACCTGCACTGCAAAAAATGCTTTTCTTACTTAGAATTTGTCTTCCTGTTTCCAGTCG